TGTTTAGGCAGTTGCTGAATTGTTCTCGGAACTCCTTTCTGTTTTCTAGACACTGTAATCTGGAAGCTAACGCTCAAGTTATCTTCAAGAGTAGTGTATTAAAGGGTTTAAGTGTTCGGGCGCATGGTTTGAGGCTCTAGGCCTTAGGCTGTAGGGGTTAATCCCTGAACCGTGAACCCCAAAAACCGCCTCCCCCTAAGGCTACTTCCGTCAGATCTTGGCGATCCCGCGATGTTCAGGCGGGTGGGGGGGGGGGCGGGAAGGAAACATGGTTCCTGCTTAAGAACTTAAATTAGACTTATAGGGTTCTTAAGGGATGGGGGCTTCAAGAGGCGCATGTTACCCAAGGCTCCCTAATACTCCCTACTGCTCCCTAATCCCTAAGGGGGCCCTATAGTAAACGGTCGAAGTTAAGGACCCAAAAAACTCATCATAGTAGGGCTGTGTAATATTCTCGTATCCTCTTTATGCTCTGATAAGGGCTTAGATTAGTCGACCGTAGTACGGTTGTATATAGCATTAGTAGTGCAGCACTGAAAAAGAACAAGTCACCTCGGGCATCGCCAAGAAACTTACTGGGCTACCAAGAACGTGGACCCCTAAGCCCTCGGGTTCCATGTGCCTATGTTGTGCTTGGGGGGGGTCCGAAAGCTAGTTTAAAGGCACCCCTTCTTTAGGCCCAAGTCTCTAAACCCTGAACCCTGAACCCTAAACCCTAGACCCTAGACCCTAGACCCTAAACCCTAAACCCTAAACCCTAAACCCTAATCCTAAACCCTGAACCCTTTGGAAAAGAGATTCGCGGAAGCGACCTCAGAGGCAACGAGGAGCGTATCCTGGACCTGATCAGCCGCACAGCGGCCGAGCACGGGCTTCCAGTGGCTCGGCCGTAGGTTGAAAGTCTTTTTGGAGACTGGGTTTAGGGTTTGGGGTTTGGGGTTTAGGGTTTGGGGTTTAGGGTTTAGGGTTTAGGGAAAAGTCAGTTGGCTATGGCGATAAGGGGCCGTTGAAAGCAATGTGGTGCCTCAGAGGCCTTTAGCCCATGAAGTTGACCCTAAACCCTACACCCCCAACCCTTAAACCCGAAGCGCCGCATTAGGTGCAGCGCGACAATGGGAACCTGTGCCTGGGGTCGCAGCTTTGGGTTTAGGGTTTGGGGTTTAGGGTTTCGGGTTTCGGGTTCAGGGTTTCGGTTCAGGAGTTTAGGACTTTGGGTTTATGGAGGAGGTGGGGGGGGGGGGGGTGCAGAGGTTGATGATTGATCGTGTGATTAGCTTAAGGTACAGGGTTTACTTCAAAGGCTTTCTAAAGGCTCAAGTAGATAGTGATAGTGATTTGGAGTTCTACATGCCGTTATTCCCTAAACCCTAAACCCTAAACCCTAAACCCTAAACCCTAAACCCTAAACCCTAAACCCTAAACCCTAAACCCTAAACCCTAAACCCTAAACCCCAAACCTAATGAGGAACCCCGACCATACCTGAGAGAAGTGACCCGATGTCGCTGCTGAGGGACTGAACTCAGGCACCTTCAGCCTTGAAGTCAGGAACCTTTCGGCCCATGAAGGGTGCAGGGTTCAGGGTTTAGGGTTTAGGGCTCATTGGTTAGGGTTTAGGGTTTAGGGTTTGGGGTTTAGGGTTTAGGGTTTAGGGTTTAGGGCTTAGGGTTTAGGGTTTAGGGTTTAGGGTTCAGGCTTCAGGGTTCAGGGTTTAGGGTTTCGGGTTTCGGGTACGCGAACGTGTGAGAAGGATCGTCCGCAAGCCTGGCACGCCGGGAGCGGGGGCGACTCGGCAGGAACCAGGCCCCCATGGCTCTGAGGGTTCAAAGCTTAGTGTTTCGGGTTTCGGGTTTAGGGCTCCATAAAACCCTAAACCCTAAACCCTAAACCCTGAACCCTAAACCCTAAACCCTAAACCCTAAACCCTAAACCCTAAACCCTAAACCCTAAACCCTAAACCCTAAACCGTGTGAATTTCAACGACATTGTGGTTGAAGCCACGGCACGAAACCTAAGCCCTAAACCTCATGGTACTCTAACTAGGGCTTAAGTCCAGTGGTGGGTTCATGTTGGGTTTAGCCTTTTTTGTGTACAGAAGCTTGTATAGAGGTTAGCTTGAACCATTGCAGGGTTCTGGCTTTACGGTTTCAAACTCAGGCCTGCAGGGTCATGAAGAGTTTATACGAGTTTAGGTTTCCGCGCTGATGTAGGGCTCAGGGTTTACCGTTCACAGGGTTTCGAATTTCGGGCTCAGGCTTCCAGATTTAGGGTTTAGGGTTCAGGGTTTAGGGTTTAGGGCTTAGGGTTTAGGGTTTAGGGTTTAGGGCTCGCAGGGTTTATTCAAAAGGGTCGGGATAGTCGTGTAGTTTTTTTTTTTGAGGCGTTTTGGCAAACGATACGGGCTTCCAATCGCTTAGGGCCCCTAAGGGTGTGAGTAATACCCTGAACCCTAAACCAACCCGAAACCCGAATCCCTAAAGCCTAAAGCCTAAAGCCTAAAGCCTAAAGCCTAAAGCCTAAAGCCTAAAGCCTAAAGCCTAAAGCCGAAAGCCTAAACCCTAAACCCTACACCCTAACACACGCTTACCACACATTGTGGGTCGGCTCCTCAGCTTTAGGGCTGCTTTGTAGCCAACGAGGCGTCGGCGGACCCCACCATCATCCAGACGCACGTGGACATGGTCTGCGAGAAGAACGCGGACTCCGCGCACGACTTCCGGAAGCACGGCTGCTGATCTCATGTCAGAGGCTTGACGTAGAAGCTCTTAAAAGCCCTAAGCCCTTGAGCCCTTCAACCCTTAAAGCCCTTAAAGCCCTAAGACCCTAAGCCCTAAGGTCCTCTTGTGGAGTTGGAGAGCCCTTCAACCCTTAAAGGCCTCAACCCTTAACCCCCCAAGCCCTAAACCCTAAACCCTAAACCCTAAACCCTAAACCCTAAACCCTAAACCCTAAACCCTAAACCCTAAACCCTAAACCCTAAACCCTAAACCCTAAACCCTAAACCCTAAACCCTTAGAGGCCTCAACCCTAAGCCCTAAGGTTCTTCTGTGGACTTGGAGCTTCGAGGGCTTCCAGAGTTTTCGGGTTTTCTGAGTTGAAACCCTTTTTGGGTTTCGGGTTTAGGGTTTAGGGTTTAGGGTTTAGGGTTTAGGGTCGAAACGATCTTTGCAAGTCTCTGATCTAGGGCTGCAGGCACCAAGAAGATGGCAGAGGGTCTTGCAAGAGGGCATGTCGGATTCCGGAGGTGTCGCGAACCCCAAACCCCCAAACCCAGCCCCAAACCCTAAACCCTAAACCCTAAACCCTAAACCCTAAACCCTAAACCCTAAACCCTAAACCCTAAACCCTAAACCCTAAACCCTAAACCCTAAACCCTAAACCCTAAACCTTAAACCCTAAACCCTAAACCCTAAACCTTGAGTCACAGCAGGCATCGTCGCCGAAGAGGAGGCCGGGTGGATCTTCGCGCGTGACACGACGCTAGGTGCGGACAATGGCTTCTCGGCAGCATGAAGTCTCAAAGGGTTTAGGGTTTAGGGTTTAGGGTTTAAGGTTTCGGGTTTACGGTTTAGGCTTTCATGGGCCTAGACCCATTAGTCCCTTTAGTCCATTATTTTAATGTTTAGGTTCCCTCGTAAGCCCCTTTAAACCAAAAAGGGCAGCCTTTTATTCCTAGGTTTCTCCTGAGAAGAGTTTTCTAAGGGCAAAAAGGTGGTCCCCTTGTAGAGGCCCATGCTAAGGGACCAGGAAGCTACACTAAGACATCAAGTCCTAAAGTCCTAAACCCTGAACTCCGAACCCTCAACCTTGAATCCTAAGCCCGCAACCCTGAACCCCAACCCTAAACCCTCAACTCCTGAATCCTCAACTCTGACCCCTCAATCCTGAATCCTAAGCCCTGAACCCTTAGAACCATCAACAGTAAACCGCAAGCCTGATGTTGGGCTTTTCGTTCCCCCCCCTGAACAGCCGGAGCTGTTTTGACCCACTTGAGAAACGGACCCCCGAATCATTGATCAGGAAACTCCCAAGAGTTGGACCATCATTCTCCTCATACTTCCAAGGCGGTTTCTAAAGGGAATTCCAGCACTAATCGTCCTTAAACCATGTTCCAACTTCATGGAGATATGACGTTTGCCAGGCCATAGACATCCAATCCAAGGCTCCTTTCCTGAACCCTCAGCCCGAAGCCCTAAACCCTAAGCCCTTAACCCTAAACCTTAAACCCTAAACCCTAAACTCAGGCCTTTGATGGGTCTCTGTAAGAAGGGTTATATGTGGGGCTACTGCAAGAGAAATCGCCTGAAGTCTTATAAGCCCTTAGCCCGCAACCCTCAACCCTACTCACAAGTAAACCCTAAACCCTGGATGAACCTTCAAGCAAGCCTTCGCGAGTCCTTAGCCTCAAAGCCAAAGCGCCCCCACCCCCTTCAGCAACCCTCAGCTGCCGCTTCTTGGTAGGGTTTCCAGTTCAGGCACCAACCCCAAACCCCAAACCCCAAACCCCAAACCCCAAACCCCAAACCCCAAACCCCAAACCCCAAACCCCAAACCCCAAACCCCGAACCCCAGAACCGCAGAACCCGGAACCTCCAAACCCCAAAACCCCAAAACCCCAAAACCCGCCAGAACCCAAGAACCTCAAAGCCCCAAAACCCCCAAAACCCAAACCCCCAAAAACCCAACCCCCCAAAGCCCTACACCCTAAACATAGCCCCTTGGAAGGATGCCTTAGAGCCGTAGGTGAACCATATCCGAAACCCTAAGCCCCCCCAAACCCGTGGAGCCAAAGCCAAACCTTCTCAAGCCGCCAGGGCTCAGGGGTTCAGGGGTGCAGGGGTTCCGGGGTTCAGGGGTTCCGGGGTTTAGGGGTTCAGAGGTTCAGGGGTTTAGGGTTTAGGGTTTAGGGTTTAGGGTTTTAGGGTTTAGGGTTTAGGGTTTAGTTTTTTTTTTAAGCCCCTGGAGATTGTTGGCTTCGTCAGCTTGAGGTATTGGCGTAGCCATGGCCATGGCTTCTTGGCGCTCTTCTTGTTTTCAGGGTTTAGGGCTCAGGGTCTAGGGTTTAGGGTTTAGGGTTTGGGGTTTGGGGTTTAGGGTTTGGGGTTTGGGGGTGAGGGTGAGGTTTCGAAGGATTTGGGGTTTGGGGTCCAAGGTCTGGAGTTTAGGGTTTTGGGGCTCTGAAGAACTCCTACAAATTTCACCAATGTGTGAATGACATGATTGAGAAATGGTTCCATCCATTCACCTTGTTTCCCGAAAACCCACTATTATCTAGTGTTTCGGCCAACGTGCGGCTATTGTTGTTAGTTGAACCGTGTCTTTTCGCCGCACGGACAAATTCCTATATTCTTATTGATTGTCTTCAGGGAAAGATATTTTTTCGGGATATGAATGACCCAAGCTTCTTTTTTCAGAGCGCACGGGGAATTAACAGATGCCGACAACTATAAACTGCCCCCAAGCGTCTGCCATTCGTGCAGAAGCCTGAACCTACCACTTAAGCCCTAATCCCCAAAGACCCCTGAAACCCTAAACCTTCAAATCCCATAAGCCCCTCAACCCAATCAAACCATTAGGATCCGAGATCAAAAGACCAACCCCTAAACCCTAAACTCTTAAAGCCCTAATCCCTTTTAACCCTAAACCCTTAACCCTAAACCCGAAACCCTAAACCCTAAACCCTAAACCCGAAACCCAACTCCTATGCAATCTCCGAGCCTGTCGGTGGGTCCCCTAAGCCCTAAGCTTGGGGTTTAGGGGTTTAGAGGTTGAGGGCTTAGGGGGTTGAGGGGTTGAGGGGTTGAGGGGTTGAGGGGTTGAGGGGTTGAGGGGTTGAGGGGTTGAGGGGTTGAGGGGTTGAGGGGTTGAGGGGTTGAGGGGTTCAGGGGCTTAGGGGGTTGAGGGGTTGAGGGGTTTTGGTAAGGGTTGAGGGGTCATGAGGGCTAAATTGGCCGACTGGCAAGGCACTCTTCCAAACCACCTCTCAGCCCTCTCCTCCGCTGGTGTTGCTTTTCACGGTGAAGGAGGCGAGCCCGACCCTCGACTTAGGGTTTAGGGTTTAGGGTTTCGGGTTTAGGGTTTAGGGTTTCGGGTTTAGGGTTTGGGGTTTGGGGTTTGGGGTTTCGGGTTTCCAGCCCCTAAAGCCTACATAAGCCTTCAACTCTTAAACCCTGAAACCCACACCCTACACTCCGAAACCCCCATCCCTGCACTTAAAACCCAAGGGACCTCTGCGGGCTCCACCGTCTAAGGAATAACTGTGTGGGTTGGGTTTAGTTGAGGGTTGAGGGTTTGTGGTTTTTGGGCTTTGGTTGAAATTTCAAGGTTTTTTTGTTCAGGGTTTTGGAACCCTAAGCCCTAAACCCTAGGCCTTAAACTCCAAGCGCGCAGCACTGGTAATATTTGGTTTTCACGCGGTCGCTCTTTGAACTTATGGTACCTTCTTCCGCCCTCAGTTCGGGGTTTAGGACCCTACGCCCTGAACACCCCAAAGCTCTACGGTGTCAGCTCGACACCGCGGTTTAGGGTTTAATTAGGGTTTAGGGTTTAGGGTTTAGGGTTTGGAGGTTTATAGGGACTCCCTATGAAGGTTATTTTCATGAGGGAAGCCTGAATTCGGGTATTCGGGTAGCTTCGGCCCTACCCCCCCCCCCCCCCGGCCCCTGCCTCCCTCACAAGCCCTGAGCCCTAAACCCTAAGCCCTGAACCCTCCTGGTTCCTTACGACATCAGGAGGTCTCGCTGGACGGCGCGCGGGCGGCAACCGCCGAACTGCTCCCGAACCGATGGCTGCTAAACCTCGACAGCGAGGTTGGGTTCAGGGTTCAGGGTTCAGGGTTCAGGGTTCAGGGTTCAGGGTTCAGGGTTCAGGGTTCAGGGTTCAGGGTTCAGGGTTTAGGGTTTAGGGTTTAGGGTTTAGGGTTTAGGGTTTAGGGTTTAGGGTTTAGGGTTTAGGGTTTAGGGTAGGCACCTAGGGAACCTTAGGGTAACTTAGGAACCTAGTAGGGAACCTTGGTTTACGTAGTGCCCCTCTTGAACCCTGTTTCCTTAAGGACACGAAAGCCTACGTAGACGCACTTGTCAAGAACAGTACCTCAACTTTCTCTGTCTTTGCCTTCGGCACCTTTCGTGAAAGGTTCGGGGCTTAGGGTTTTAAGGATATGCTGGGGCGCATCTGCCCGCCTCGCGCAGACTGACTTAGGCCCTAACCCCTAACCCCTAACCCCTAACCCCTAAACCCTAAACCCTAAGCCCTAAACCCTAAACCCTAAACCCGAAGCCCTAAACGCTAAACCCTAAACCCTAAACCCTACCCTAAACCCTAAACCCTAAAGCCTAAAGCCTGCGGGGACTTTTTGACCACCCGGAGGAGTACGGGATCCTCTACATCGGCAGTGCCGGCGGCGCTACCGACGTGCTCTGGGCCAAGGTGGGGGCTTACGATGTTAGGGGTGCCTTTTTGGGTTTAGGGTTTGGGTTGTAGGGTTTACGGTTTGGGGTCTAGAGCTTCGGAATTAGGGGTTAAGGGTTTAGGGGTTGAGGGGCTTAAGGGCTTGAGAGGTGTTGGGGTTGATTTAGGGGGTGCAGGGTTTGGGGCTTGAGGCTTCGTGCATTAGGGTTTAGGGTTGAGACTTCGCAAGTGGCCAAGAAAATATGTATGTAAAATATTTGTTTTTTTGATTATGCTTCGGGTATGTTTTGCATCTGTCAAAGGATATGATGCGAATTAACTATGGACATTTTCCGAAAATCTTATGCTTCTTCCAGGTTCCTAAGAAAAACCCAAGCACCCTAATGCACGATTCCTATGACAGCCTCTTTCAACCTCTGGTATTTCTATGGAAGCCAAGGCGACCCTTGCCATGGGTTTAGGGTTTAGGGTTTAGGGTTTAGGGTTTAGGGTTTAGGGTTTAGGGTAGTTTAGGGTTTAGAGTTTAGGGTTGCTTTGTAGTGGAACCATCGTGAAAAATCACAGTTGCCAGGACCCCATTTTCCAGATTCATAAATGGCCAGCCATATGGAAGCCATATTCAAACCATGAACATAATGACTCCCTTAAACATTTTGTTGACCAACACCTCATGTCACAAATTTAGGGTTTAGGGTTTAGGGTTTAGGGTTTGGGGTTTAGGGTTTGTGGATGATCTGCCTTGCGATTCCCAAGAATATTGCAGAGTATGAGTCGAAATCTCTGTACACATCCCTACTCAGCGAGCCCTATACGTATCCTCGCGATTTGTCCCTACATCACCCTAAACCCGAAACCCTAAACCCGAAACCCTAAACCCTAAACCCTAAACCCTAAACCCTAAACCCGAAACCATAAACCCTAAACCCTAAACCCTAAAACCCCAAACCCTAAACCCTAAACCTTGTTTTTTGAACGCTGGCTTTAGCTGCCGGTCATGGGACACAAAGATTTAGATTCAGCAGCGATCCCCCTTTTGGCTCAGATGAGTTGAGAGTGGACTTGGTACTTGGTTGTTGCAATGCTTCGAGTAAACATCTACTTGCCAAGCGGTGAGTGTGACACCCTACAAATTCCACAACTCTCCCGAGTGGGGGACTTGAAGGCCTCGGCGCGCAAATTGTTTGGGCAAGGCCCCCTCAGATTGATTTCCGCCAGCCACCATGTCCTCACCGACCCGGAGGCATCTTTGCAAGCCGCAGGGATCCAAGACGGAGATGACATCACAGCAGTTGTGCAAAGAATCCACGTAGCAAAGACCAGTGCGGCTTTTGCAGCTTGGTGTCCTGGCAGCGATGGAATTGTGAGCTGGGGCGATCCAGCCAAAGGTGGTGACAGCTCTGCTGTGCAGGATCAGCTCAGGAGCGTGCAGCACATTGTGGGCGCAAATGCTGCATTTGCCGCCATCTTGGCAGACGGATCAGTCGTGACCTGGGGCAATCCACGCTTTGGTGGCGACAGCTCTGCCGTGCAAGATCAGCTCAGGAACGTGGAGCACATATACGCCAAGCGTGGTGTGTTTGCCGCCGTTTTGGCGGACGGATCGGTCGTGACCTGGGGCAATCCATGTGGTGGTGACAGCTCTGCAGTGCAAGGTCAGCTCAGGAAAGTGCAGCACATTCAGGCCACAGGTCCTGCATTCGCTGCCATATTGGCGGATGGATCAGTCGTGACCTGGGGTCAAGCAGCCTGTGGTGGTGACAGCTCTACCGTCCAACATCAGCTCAGGAACGTGCAGAACATCCAGGCCACCAGCTATGCTTTTGCCGCCATTTTGACGGATGGATCTGTCGTGACTTGGGGTGTTCTATCCAGTGGTGGTGACAGCTCTGCAGTGCAAGCTCAGCTTAAGAATGTACAGCACATTCAGGCTGCAGACAGCGCATTCGCCGCGATTTTGGCGGACGGTTCAGTCGTGACCTGGGGCAATCCAGACTTAGGTGGTGACAGCTCTGCCGTCCAACATCAGCTCAGGAACGTGCAGAACATCCAGGCCACCAGCTACGCTTTTGCCGCCATTTTGGCGGATGGATCAGTCGTGACCTGGGGCAAACCAATCTGGGGTGGTGACAGCTCTGCAGTGCGAGATCAGCTCAGGAGCGTACAGCACATTCAAGCTACAGCTAGGGCATTCGCAGCGATTTTGGCGGATGGATCAGTCGTGACCTGGGGTGATGCCGCCAAAGGCGGAGACAGCTCCATAGTACGAGATGAGCTCAGGAGTGTGCAGCACATTCAGGCTACAGCAAAGACCAGCCCGAATTTTGCAGTTTGGTGTTGTGGAAGTGACGGAATTTTGAGCTCGGGCGATCCAGCCAAAGATGGTGACGGCTCCGTAGTGCGAGACCAGCACAGGAATTTGAAGCATATTCAGGCCACAGATGAAGCATTTGCCGCCATTTTGGCAGACGGATCAGTCGTGACCTGGGGCAATCCAGAGTATGGTGGTGACAGCTCTGCGGTGCAAGATCAGCTTCTGTATATCTAGACTGCTAAGGAATGACATCTTCTTCAAAAAGGGTCCGGATAGGCATTCGCGGCAGATGCTCATCGAGCAGTCAGGCGGCCCAGATCTCGCGGGGATTTAGGTTGGTGTTGGGTTGTACACCAAGTCCTACTACACCCTAAACCCGAAACCCTAAACCCTCCAACTAGGGCCCACCCGTCCGGTCTCACCCAAACTCCGCAGTTGTTCATGGTTTAGGGTTTTAGGGTTTGGGTTTAGGGTGGTTGGGGCTTGGATTGGGGTAGTTGAGGTTTGTTGGGACTAGTTGGGGTTCGTTTCATTATGGGATGACCTGCGTGCCCAGCAACGCCAATACCACACTACAGCGCGGTCTAGGGTTTAGGGTTTAGGGTTTGTGGTTCAGGGTTTAGGTTAGGGTTTAGGGTTTGGGGTTGAGCTAGGGTTTAGGGTGTAGGGTTTAGGGTTTAGAGCTTAGAACATAGCGATTTAAGCAAGATGCCTCCACTGAGTTTGGAGTCTCTGCGCGGGGAGGGTGGCTTCGTTAAGGGTCCATAAGGGACGGGCGTCCAAGGAGTTTAGGGTTTTGGGTTTGGGGTTTAGGGTTTAGGGTTTAGGGGTTAGGGTTTAGGGGAACCCACAGTTCCCTACGCCCACAGATTTGTTGAAAGAACCCTAAACCCTAAACCCTAAACTCAGGGCCTAGGCCCCCCGCTATGTTGGGGGGCGGCGCTTAAGCCCTTTGACCTCGGTGGCACAAGCCGACCGAGGTCGCTCGCCCCCACAGCATCGGTAGGATTATGACTCAGAGGGGGGGTACCCCCAGGCCCCAGGGGTCCTGGACCCTTCACCGCAGTGTGCCCAAGGACCAGGGGGCCTCAGGCCAGGCCAGGCAGGGTGGGTGCCCTTTTTCAATTTTTGGGATTTTGCCCCCTTTCTGGCCTGCCTGGCCTTCCTGGCCCCTAGCCCGCCTGACCCTGCTGGCCCGACCCCGCCCTTCGAGACCTTGCTGCAACCCTCCCTGAAACCCAATTCCTTTGACTCTCGGACCCAACGAACGTCATGAAACTGAATAAGTTTTTAGAAGTGGGCTGTTGTCTGAGATTAGGCCTAAACCCTAAAAGGAATAGGTTTGGGTGGCTTTGCCGCCTTGGAGCTGCTCTTCGCACCTCACGAAGCTTTCGAGCTTGTTCCGAAACCTAACCTTCACAGCATCTACGCCCTAAGCCCAAAACCCTAAACCCTAAACCCTAAACCCTAAACCCTAAACCCTAAACCCTAAACCCTAAACCCTAAACCCTAGACCCCGATTCCGAGCCCTCTCTCGGACGCAAAAATCGACCCCCGACCAGGTTCATCGAGTTCCCCTCGGCCAAGATCTCGAAGTGCCACGCGGTGAAGTTGCCGACTCTTTGTCGGTTTAGGGTTTAGGGTTTAGGGTGATTACCGACTTAGGGGTTAGGGCTTTATAGGTTTTTCGGGTGAAATTGTAGGGTACTTTTTTCGGAGGGTGTAATATTATTGGGGGTATATTCGGCGCCTACTTTGGCACCGGGCTCAAGTTCGCATCCCCTAAGCCCTACACCCTAAACCCTCTCAGAAAGCCAAGCCCACCCCAAAAAATCTCAGAATTTCAGGCCAACGACCCAAGCCCCTGTCACCCTAAACCAACCCCTTTACCCTGGGCCCTAAGCCCTAAGCCCTAAACCCTGAATCAGCAGTCTCTTAAGGCTTGAGGGCCCAGGGGTTCAGGGTTACAGACTAGAATTATTGGCATCATCTTGCAATGATTTGGGCTCCTGTATTCGGTTTTCCAGGGATTCGGGTTCAGGGTAGGAGGTTTGTTGGGGTCGCGCGTCTGCAAGCTACGATTCTTGGGATGCTCGAAGGTTTTCGGTTGAAACTTTGCAGATAGGTTTCCACTACATGGCTTCTTGCTATGCTAGTTGGTGAAGCAGCTCCTCCATTCAAGAAAGAACAGAAAGGGCCAAAGACCAGCGCCGCAGAGCAAGTCGTATGTTTGTCGTGGTAGTTGTGCTGGGCTTTTGGCCATGGAGGGGTGTAAACAAATCCCCTCCATCCCCACGCAGTAAACCCCATACCCCAAACCCAAACCCTAAACCCCAAACCCCTAAACCCCTAAACCCAAAACCCAAAACCCAAAACCCAAAACCCTAAACCCTAAACCGAAACCCTGAACCCTAACAAACCTCAAAATCTGCAAAGCCCAGGTACGACTTGGCCGTGGATGGCCTGGCGGGAGGCCACTCAGGCGCCGCAACTATCCATAGTCTCCAGAATCCCGAACCCTAAACCCTAAACCCTAAACCCTAAACCCTAAACCCTAAACCCTAAACCCTAAACCCTAAACCCTAAACCCTAAACCCCCAAACTTCGCGAAGTCCTAAACACCATGCTTGGGTCTCCCAAAATGAGGCTTACCTTTAGTAGGCACCGGGTTTCAAAAACGGCCCCATGTTTAGAGCCCCTCATTTAGGGTTTGGGGTTCAGGGTTTAGGGTTTGGGGTTTAGGGTTTAGGGTTTAGGGTTCAGGGTTCAGGGTTAGGGTTTAGGGATTAGGGTTTAGGGTTTAGGGCCGTCTCCCCGGAGGTGCCGACATCCACCTGGGTCGCCAGAATGCTCTGAAGGTCGCAGCGAAGGCCAAACCGTGAACAGGGTTTAGGGCTTAGGGTTTAGGGTTAAGGGTTTAGGGTTGTAGGGTTTAGGGTTTAGGGTTTAGGGTTTAGGGCTAAGGGTTCAGGGTTCAGTGTTTACACCGTTGCAGAGAATTACCCCCGTAGACAGGGTATACTGATGCCCAAGTCCAAACCCTTAAGCCCTGAACCCTAAACCCTAAACCCTAAGCCCCAAACCCTAAACCCTGAACCCTGAACCCTAAACCCTGAAGCCTGAACCCTAAACCCTGAACCCTAAACCCTAAACCCTAAACCAGAACCCTGAACCAGAAACGCCTGCAGAAGCACCACTGCTGTGGTTTCCGCTCTCAAGGGCCAGTTGTTTGACCTGAAGCCAGGGTTTTTGGTATAGGCGATTTGGGAATCAGTGTTCCATGTTTAGGGGGGTTCGGTGTTGAGGGTTTAGGGTTTCAGGGTTTCGGGTTCAGGGTTCAGGGTTTAGGGTGTTTATGGGCTCCCCACCTCGTGCCCAAAGTTCTTAGGCAAGGACTTCAACATGAGGGTATTCTTCTATCGATTTTTGGGGGGTTTAGGCTTTAGGGTTTAGGGTGTAGGGTTTAGGGTTTAGGGTTTGAGGCAGCCTCCCTTCTCTTCCAGCGGGAGCCGGCGGGCCAGCTCATCGACTTCTGGGGCGGGGACAAGGACGGCTGACCAGGATGTTGCTTCAGGAGCCCCCCCCCCCCCGGTTTAGGGTTTAGGGTTTAGGGTTTAGGGTTTAGGGTTTAGGGTTTAGGGCCTCATCACTCCTCCCATCCCCCCCAAAACAAAAACGAGAGCAAGACAAAACAAACAGCACAACGAGAACAAGAACCATGCACACAATGTAACTACACTTAGAACCCTAGGTTGGTTTTTGGGACATTTTCTATTTTCCATATTTGGGTTTATAAGAGACCCTATATACAAACATTTTTCAGAGGGTTTAAAGGCCAACTTAGAACCAGGTTTGTTGAAGGGTTCCTTGGAGCTAGTCCCAGTTTATGGTTTTGGGCTTAGGACCGCAATCTTTAAGCCAGACTGTGCGCGTGGTTTCGTGTCCCGTGTCGGTGCCTTCTGGTGTCTTTTTGGTTTCTCAACCCCTAAGCAATCAGTAGCAGGAGCCCCGCACGGAAAGCCTAAAGCCCTAAAGCCCTGCACCCTAAGTACGCAGGCTGTGGGCTGCGTATTGAAGATTGAGGCCCATGTGGGGTTTGGGGTGCGGGGGGGCTGGCAACGCCGCATGACAGCGGGAACATCCGCCTGCCCGGGACGCTCACGCCTAGGCACTGCGCATGTTTCCATTCGTGAGCGACGACCTTCTTGGTGGCGCGCGTGCCCGGAATTCGCGCGTGACGACCTGTCGGTGTTCTCGTGCGCCTGTAGGCCCTCTGCTGCGCCCTAACCCTAAATCCTAAGCCCGAAACCCCTCTCGGTGTTTCCCAGACGGCAGAAACGCAATTCGCTGGGCCGCCATGTCGGGGCATGGGGTGTTAGTATGGGGAAGGGCTCAGATATGCAGCGTTCCGAAATTGGGGATACCTTATTGGGGTCCCGATTACAAAGGAATCCTACTCTTTGGAGGTCTAGATTAAGGGTCCCTATTTTCGTAAACCCCTACTTTGGGCAACTTTGGGCAACTTTGCTGATGATGGAGGGTTTGGGTTTAGGGTTTAGGGTTTAGGGTTTAGGGTTTAGGGTTTAGGGTTTAGGGTTTAGGGTTTAGGGTTTAGGGTTTAGGGTTTAGGGTTTAGGGTTTAGAGTTTAGGGTTTAGGGTTTAGGGTTTAGGGTTTAAGTTTAGGGTTTAGGGTTTAGGGTTTAGGTTTAGGGTTTAGGGTTTAGGGTTTAGGGTTTAGGGTTTAGGGTTTAGGGTTTAGGGTTTAGGGTTTAGGGTTTAGGGTTTAGGGTTTAGGACTTCGTCACGAGAATTGGACGCTTTCATCCTCGTGGCTACCCAGAGGACAATGCCATTCCGCGGCGTGCCGTGGCGCGGGTGGGCTTGCCGAGCAAGAAGGCGGCTTTAAACCCTAATCCCTAAACCCTAAACCCTAAACCCCAAGCCCCAAACCCTAAACCCTAAACCCCAAACCCTAAACCCTAAACCCCAAACCCAAAACCCAAACCCTAAACCTTAAACCCTGGGCTTGACGAGCAAGAAGGCAGGTGGGGGCTTTCGACGTCGGTCTTCGGGGTTTCTGAGTGCAGAGTTTTGAACCCTAAACCCTAAACCCTATCAACCCTGTAAACCCTATAGACCCTACAAACCCTGTAAACCCTATAGACCCTATAAACCCTATAAACCCGAAACCCTAAACCCTAAAGCTCCTGTGGGGTTCCGACTCCAAGCCGTGGATTACAGATGAAGATTTCGGGCTTCGGGCCGGGAGGAGGGGGGGGGGGGTATGATTCTTATGGTCACTAGGTTTTAGAGTTTAAGATTTAGAGTTTGGGGTTCAGGGTTCAGGGTTTAGGGTTGAGGGTTTAGGGTTCAGGGTTTAGGGTTCCTATACGGGGGATTCTCTAAACTAGGGTCTCTATTGGGGTTCCGGGTATGATTCTTCCGAAGCCCTCAAAGCCTCCAGGTTAAGTTCTTGCATTTTCCAGGTGGCTGCATATAATTGGATGACATCTGAGGGCGTAGGGTTTAATTAGGGGTTGAATTAGGGTTGAATTAGGGTTTAATTAGGGTTTAATTAGGGTTTAATGTGGGTTTAATTTGGGTTTAATTAGGGTTTCAAAACTTGACGATGGGCTCGAGGAGAATCAAGCGGCATAAATGATTCGTCGACGGTTGGCTGCTTTGTTTCAGCAAGAACTGTGGCTATGGGTTTCGAGTTTAGGGTCTAGGTTTTAGGTTTAGGGTTTAGGGTTTAGGGCGCCCGTTTGCTTGAGCTTCCTTCTGTTCCGTGACTTCGACCTCAGCCGTAAGTGGCGGTTGTCTGATTGTTTGCCCACTTCTGTAACTTAGCAGTTGGGATCCCTGAGCCCTAAGCCCTAAACCCTCAAAGATCAGGTCCCACAAACACTAAACCCTAAACCCCAAACCCCAAACCCCAAGCCCCAAGCCCCAAGCTCCAAACCCCAAGCCCCAAACCCCAAGCCCCAAACCCCAAACCCCAAACCCCAAACCCTAAACCCTAAACCCCAAACCCCAAACCCCAAACCCAAAACCCTAAGCCCGAAACCCTAAACCCTAAACCCTAAACTCCCTGAGGTGAGTGGCCTCCAAGAGGCTCTGCGAGATCACGAGGCGCAGCTTCGCGGAGATCTCCAAGAGAAAGACCATGGCCTCAAGCTGTCCTTGAAGGCCCATAGGGTTTAGAGGGTTTAGGGGTTTAGGGTGTTTTAAGGTTAAAAAACCCTAAATGCGACCATGGCTTCAAGCTGTCCTTGAAGGCCCCCTAGGGCTTAGAGGGTTTAGGGTTTTAGGGTTTAGGGTTTAGAGGGTTTTGAGGGTTTAGGGTTGAGGGTTTAGGGTTTAGAGGGTTTAGGGGTTGAGGGTTTAGGGTTTAGAGGGTTTAGAGGGTTTAGAGGGTTTAGGGTTTAGGGTGTAATTAGAGGGTTTAGGGTTTGAGGGTTTGAGGGTTTGAGGGTTTAGAGAGTTTAGGGGTTAGGGTTTGAGGGTTTAGGGTTTTAGGGTTGAGGGTTTAGGGTTTGGGGTTTTAGGGTTTAGGGTTTCCGAAATTCGGGTTACCTTGTTGGGGTCCGTATGATCAAAGAATCCTACTATTTGCGGGTCTATATGATCCCCTATATTCGTAACGTGAAGGCCCAGATGGGGGTTTCCGAAAACAAGGGTACACCTTTTGGGGGTTCCTTTAAGGAAATTCTGTTCTAGTTTGGAGTTTAAGAGGGGTGCCCTTATTTCGTGAAATGCCCGTATGTGGGAGAACGGGACCCGAATTCTTGAGAACTGACCACATAGGGTTCCTTGTAATGAGGGCTATCGTATTGAGGGTTGTTTAGGGGTACTCCTGTTTTGGGAACTGCTATATTGTCTTCCTATAACAACATGTCCGTATGTATGTATGTATGTATGTACGTACGTATGTATGTATGTATATAAGTTGTTTATGTAGTTGAGTCGCTTGACACTGAGCATGAGCAGCGCTCTTCGGTCGCTCTTTTTTGAGCCGTATCTAGATGTTATTCCGACGACTTGGCGAACGAACCGGGTTGGGGAAGCATCTAATTGTCTGAGCCAGCAATTTCAGCATCAATCTGCAAGATCCATGCGTTGGCAAGTAGACACGCGTGATTCATGTGGCTCCATTCGCTTGGGGGCCATGTCAAGATCGCATTCTTCGTGTCTGTATCCGTGCTCCAACCAACTGTTGGTCTTCGAGCTGAAGAGGCATTTGCCGGCCCACTGCTGGCCGCAAACGCCCGGGCCAAAGAATCCCAAATGGTGCTTTCGCAAGAAGCACGTGAGCTGGAGACCTCCGTAGCAGAAGTACACGAGAAGCTGAATGGCGTTTCCCTTGCAGAGTTGAGTAAGGTCATCTCAGATTGCGACAAAGAGTTCGAAGTTTTACTCACGGCTTTGAAAAACTCCTGTGAGAAGTATGCGCTGCACAACAACGCATGCTCACACTATGCGGCCACCACGCTGGAGCATGCTACGGCATACCGCTGGCAACAGTCCTTGGTGTCCAGCAACATTGGCAGGAACGTGCCCGTGCTTTGGGCGGGGTTTTCTGAGTTTGACACCTCCGGCTTGGCCAGCAAGAAAAACTTGACCGATTTCGTAAGAGCCGTGAACGGCATCTTGCTCCACGGGGGAGGTCAAGTCGCGCAGACTGAGTGGGGCCAGATAGTCGAGGAGGCCAAAGATTTGACGAGTTGTCCATGGGACCGGAAGAAGGGCTTTTGGAAAGTGGCTTCCAGGGCCCTGGCAAAAGCGATGCGCCATGCTAAGAATGAAAAGATAGTCATTGCAGTGCGCAAGGAACTCACAGGGAACTACAGCCTGTACAAGTCCATCTTGTACCAACTAGAGCTGCCGAACGCTGGCTTCGAGATGTTCGAACACCCGGAATGGACCCCGACCTTCGAAGTTCACGAGATTCCAGTAGCCGAGTCCTCAGACTGCACGGTGGCCCCCTTGCTCAAGGCGCAGTTGGAGCAATACGCCAGGCGCAACATCAATATGACGTGCAGCCTTTGCCCTCGAGGCCTTAGTGCCTGCGGCTCCCTGAGGCAGGTGGGCAAGGCCGAGGTCACTTCCAGTTGCACAGCTGGGGATTGTCGGAACGGAAGAGGCAACAAGACCTTTGCGGACGGAAGCCGCTACGAAGGTGGCTTCAAGAACAGCACGATGGATGGACATGGCAAGTTCTTCTATGTGGGTGGCGACGAGTACGAGGGAGACTTCAAGGGCGGTGTGATGGATGGCAAGGGCAAGTATTTCTTTTCGAATGGAAACTCCTATGAGGGAGACTACAAGAACGGAATGAAGGATGGAAAGGGCAAGTTTGTCATTGCGAATGGAGACTACTATGAGGGAGACTTCAAGAAGAACAGGCAAGATGGAAAGGGCACGTATGTCTTTTTTGCCAGTGGACTACGCTACGTGGGATTCTACAAGAATGGAAAGAAGAATTTCTGGGGCAGGTGGTTCTATCCTGATGGAGACCGAGAGAAATGCTTGTACGAGATGGGCAAGCAAATCAGGTGTAAATAAAGCCCCGTGATCATGGCCGTCTGGTTAAGAAAGGCAGATGTTTGCACAGTGTTTTCATGCCTTAGCGTGACGACTTGCCGCGACCTCCTTGATGGGCCCCGCCACTTCAGTGGCATAGCCTTTAAACCCTGAACCCTAAACCGTAACGGAACCCTTGTAAACCTTTAAACCCTAAACCCGAAACCCTAAACCCTAAACCCTAAACCCTAAACCCTAAACCTTAAACCCTAAACCCTAAACCCTAAACCCTAAACCGACAGCCAGGCGCCTGGGGCGCTGGAGTGGCCGCAGGCACTCCATGAGGCATGCCTCATGCTCCCGACCCTCAGCCCTTGAAAACAGCGAAGGGTTTAGGGTTTAGGGTTTAGGGTTTGGGGTTTGGGGTTTAGGGTTTTGGGTTTAATGTTTAGGTTTAGGGCCAGGCAGGCCCTTGGAATATTTCATGTTTTCCCTTTTTGGGTGTAAGAGGGCGATGTTTAGGGTTTTGAGGGCCATCCTAGAATCGAGCAACTCCACACCGTAAGCCCAAGCCCTAAGCCCCAGCCCCAAGCCCTAAGCCCTAGACCCGAGCACCGTCAGGCAAGAACTGCAAAGGCCTGAAGGACCCCTGAACAGCCACGAACAGTCCTTACTTACAGTAAGTGGTTGTTTAAGGGTTTAGGGTTTAGGGTTTAGGGTTTAGGGTTTAGGACTTTGCAGTTCCGGGTGTAGGGGGTTCAGGGTTCAGTGAGGATCCGCCTCTCCGGACTCATCCTTACAGTTTGGGGCTTAAAGCCCTGCACCCTGAACCCTAAGATAAACCCTGAACACCAAACCGCAAACCGCAAACCCCAAACCCGAAACCCTGAACCCTGAACCCTTAGCCCTAAACCCTAAACCACCCTGAAGCCCTCGACCCGCCAACCCGCGCGCGTGCGCTCGCGCGCGCGCGTGTAGGCCACCCGGGACTCGCTCCTACGGCTGCTGGAGGCCTTGCCTCACGGTCCTCTGAGGCCCGAAGTCGCTTTTGGCTGCAACCCCAAACCCTAAACCCTAAACCCTAATCCCTAAACCCGAAACCCTAAACCCGAAACCCGAAACCCTAAACCCGAAACCCCAAACCCTAGTCCCTAATCCCTAATCCCTAAACCTAACAAACCCGAGCCAGAAAGCCCAAACTGAAAACCTTTATTACCCAACCCAGAGATCTACATTCCTAGGTCGGCCGCGTTTTAGATATGTAGATATTTTCCTTACTTGGCTTTAACAAAGGACCCATGTATTAATATTGTTCAAAGTGGTTCAAAGGCCAACCTAATCTCTAGATTCCTAAAGCCCTACGCCCTAAACCTTGGGGTTTAGGGGGTTTAGGGTTTAGGGTTTAGGGTTTAGGGTTTAGGGTGAGCAGGGATCTGGGAAGGTACTCCTCGGAGGTGCCAGGGCTCGTCGAGACCTCCAACAACGTGGCCAGCGTGAGCGCCTGGGATGAGAGGGCGCTTGGGGTTTAGGGTTTAGGGTTTCGGGTTTCGGGTTTAGGGTTTAGGGTTTAGGGTTGCAAGGCTTCTGGTTCAGGGTTTTGGGTTGCAGGGTGGGTGTTTAGTAGCGTGTAAGGGCGTTTTCTGGGACTTCAAGCCCTCCATGACCCCGAGAATGCAGCACCTCCCCAATCTTTGCGAAGGTTTTTCATTTCCCATGTCAGCTTAACCCGCAAAACAAATGCCACTTGATGGCTCATGTGCAGCTATACGCCAGGAGGTTCATGGGCGCGATGGTTACAGTAACCCCTATCATGGACAGCATGTGGCGCGAGCATGTAGGTACGCTCAGGGGTGCTAGGAAGCCCGTCAGCTTACAGCTTTCTTAGCCGATACATGGGCTTTAAACTTTTTGGGTTTTTCTCACTTGGTAAGAAGGGAAGAAGTTTAACCCCTTTTTTGTTTCTCCTTTTTTCCCTTGGCATTGGAGAAGCAAGTCAACCTAAGCCTTCCACCTAAAAGCCCTGGCAGTCGCCAAGCAGAGCCAGAGGTATCGGTGCCAGTGCTTGGAGGATCGTGGCACTAATTAACCAATTATAACTGTACTTCTAACCCACTTATGAGCCCCTTAAGTGCCCTAATGTGGTCATAAGTGCAGCTATATGTACAGCCAGAGGTATCGGTGCCAGTGTGGTCAACGTCACCCACTTCGCGCGTTCCGCGGTCGATGCCGAGCTCGATGCTTTCCGACGCACGGTGAAGGAGCACCTGGGGAACATCCCAACCCCCAAAGCCTGCAACCTGAACCGTAAACCTTAGCCTGCACCCTTAGCCCTAAGTTATCAATCCGATCGCCCTAAGCCCTAAGCCCTAAACCCTAAGCCCTAAACCCTAAGCCCTAAACCCCAAACCCCAAACCTAAACCCTAAACCCCAAACCCTAACCCCCAATCCCTAAACACCGGAGGACCTCGCGGCCGCAACCGGCTTTCAAGCGAGCTACGGAGTGCAACTCCCAGGCAAGGGTTTAAGGCAACAAACAGGGTAGGGGATTAGGGTTTAGGGTTTAGGGTTTACGGTTTAGGGTTTAGGGTTTAGCGTTAGGGGTGAAGCTGGGGACATCTCCGGGCTCTTGAGCAGCGAGTGTTTAGGGTTTAGGTCTTTTATTTCTTCATAGGGGTATCATAGTGTTTTCATCGGGTTTATGGGGTTTTCAGAGGGTTTTATGGGGTTTATGGGTTTTTTCACAGCGTTTGCTAGGGTTGCGGAGGGGTGGCCTGGTAGGGGAGGGCTTTTAAACCCCTGCCAAACCCCTAAATTCCCCAAAGCCCTTAAACGCTAAACCCTAAGCCCCTAAACTCCTGAACCCCTAAGCCACTGAACCCCTAAACCCCTCAAACCCTTGAAACCCCGAAACCCTAAACCCTTAAAACCCCTAAACCCCACACCCCTCTGAATCCCAAACCCCAGACTCCTAAACCCCAAACTCTGAACTCCTAAACCCTTAAAGCCGAATCCCCAAACCCCGCCCCACACCCTTCTGAACCCCAACTCCTAAACTCCTAATCCCCCCCATCTCCCCCCCCCAGACTCCCCAGCACCCTAAACCCCCAACCCTACCCTAAACCCTAAACCCTAAACCCCAACCCCTAAACCCTAACCCTAAACCCTAACCCCTAAACCCTAAACCCTAAACCCTCAACCCTAAACCCGAACCGCGCAGCCAGGTTGGGCCCCCAACGCCAAGTCCCGACTCTTGGAGCTGTCGAAGGCACCGGGTGGGTGTTCTTTTGTTAGGGCCTATAGGGTTTAGAGCTTGGGGTCTAGGGTTTAGGGTTACCCGGGTTTAGGGTTTAGGGTCTGGAAACCTGATATCGATTCTTCGAGCAACGGGCCGTGATGCAGACGCCGCCGGCACAAGCCCTTCACTGGCATCGCATGGCATCGCCAACAGTGATCTACAGACCTTTCTTGCGCGGCCAAGGAACCCTAAACCCTAAACCCTCAACCCTCAACCCTCAACCCTAAACCCTAAACCCTAGCCCTAAGCCCTAAGCCCTAAGCCCTAAGCCTTAAGCCCTAAGCCCTAAGCCCTAAGCCCTAAGCCCTAAGCCCTAAGCCCTAAGCCCTAAGCCCTAAACCCTAAATGTGAGCAGAACTGTGCCGGCAGCCCTGAAGGCCGGCGCGTCCCATGTGTCCCTATCGTCGCCTTCCTGGCGGTAGGTCACATGTGGGGTGGGCACATAACCTTTTCTTTACACTAAAACCCTAAACCCTAAACCCCAAACCCTTCTCTTCTATTGCAGCTCTCGAAGCGGGGAGGGGTGGTCCAGCCAGCGACTTCTGCGTCGTTGAGGTTTTAGGGTCTGGGGGGGTTTGCTCAGGTCGCTCTAGTCTAAACTAGCTCGAGCTCTTTGAAGGCGTTACATCTTGGTTCCAAACAAGCCGTAAACTAGGACCCAGCACGGGCCCTTATTCCCCTTTTAGGGTTTCGGTTCCCTGATAATGGCTTCAGGATACTAACCCCAGTGTTTGGGGTTTTACGCATACAAGTTTTCCATGATTGTTATGTGTAGAACCGCTTTCTTCCTAAGCCCGGAGCTTGCATGATTGACCGGTATTACGCATAGCCAGAAAGCGTGCAACAGCGCAAGTCCTTGTGTATTTGTGTGTGCGTGATATCGCAGTTAAAAAATCGTGTTCGATGGCGAGCCTATGTCGAAGAATTGGTAGGTTGACAGTGATGTTTTCTAGTCCTGTCACTTGCTGAGGTGGACGCTCCGGACGCATCAAGCACATAGACCCTCAATCCTAATTCCCCTAGAGGTGATAGTTTGAAACTAAGCCTTAGCGGGTCAGCAAGCACATGTGTTTGCTTTTGCAGATGGTCTTCTTTGCCGGTTTAGGCACAGGAGTCGGGCAGGGTTTAGGGCCTAGGGCCTAGGGTTTAGGGTTTAGGGTTTAGGGTTTAGGGTTTAGGGTTTAGGGTTAGGGTTTAGGGTTTATTGCTTTCATGAGGACATTGCAGGGGTCCTTCGAAGCTATCCTTGCCAAAATGAATCCCAGACTTGACAACCTAAACCCTGAACCCTAGGGTTTAGGGTTTAGGTTTAGGGCTTAGGGTTGAGGGTTTAGGGTTTAGGGCTTGAGGCTTAGGGCTTCGGGCTTAGGGCTTAGGGCTTAGGGTTTAGGAAGCCCTAAACCCTGAACCCTAGAGGGTTTAGGGTTTAGGGTTCAGGGTTCAGGGTTTAGGGTTTAGGGTTTAGGGTTTAGGGTTTAGGGCTTAGGGCCTAGGGCTTGGGGCTTGGGGCTCAGGGCTTAGGGTTTAGGGTTCATTCAGGGCAAGCCTTCTACGTGGAGTTGCCGCCAGGAGGTGTTTCTGCAGCTGGAAGGCAGGGAAGCCGAGGCGTGTGAGGGCAATTGTCAGGTCATTGCCTTATGGGGGTTTACGAGAATAGGGGTACCTTATTGGGATCCCCATTATACGGGGGATCCTACTATTTAGGGTAAACCCCCTTATCCCAAATTCTAAGCCTACCTTCTAAGCCTGCATTCTGCGTGAGTGGTTATAGGAGTCGTAGGATGGAGCTATCTTAAGCCCCCAACTCTAGAATCTTCCTACTTGGAGACCCCAACAAGCCAAGCAATATGAGATTTGCTTTAAATGTAACCCCCCTCGCTCCCCTCCCTTTTGATGGGTGGGAACGATTCCGTCCTCTTTCGAGCCCCCACTTGGGAGGCAGGCAATTGACTTCAAAAGGCACGCCACAACAAGTCAGTCTTCTTATCACTTACGACGCCTAGGAAACTCAACTTTTTTGGGGATCCCTCTAACAGTGGCCCGAAACCCTATACCCTTAAGCCTAACCGCTAGAAAGCCGGTAAACTTGACCTGCAAGGGCCCCCCCCGAGCGATTGCAGGTCCCCCATTGGGCTGCCTAAACCCTAAACCCTAAACCCCTAAACTATAGTGTTTTTTTTGTGGTCTACTGGAAGGCTCATGGGCAGGTGTGCGCGTTAATTGCGGGTACAGCAAAGACAGGGTTTAGGGTTTTTAGGGTTTAGGGTTAACACATACCTATGAACTTTCAACTGTCAAGTGCTGCCTAGTTGCAGGGTATAACTCCCGAAATTTCCCGAAATATGGTAGTTAGGTGCCTAAAACCCAAAATAGAAGGCAATTGGGACCCAGAATTCCCTACAACTGAAAGCCCTAAATCCTGAGAGGCCCCAAGAGGACCCTACCCAAGAGGGCTCAAACGGCAGGGTGGTAGGGTTCAGGGTTTAGTTTAGGGTTTAGGGTTTGGGATTTAGGGTTTAGGGTTTAGGGTTTAGGGTCAAGGGTTTAGGTTGAGAAGGTGGCTGCCATCCACGCTGGGCTCGAGTGCGGCGTCTTTGCAGCGCCCAGGCTTAGGGTCAATCATAACTGTACTTATAACTGTACTCACAACTGTACTTATTGGGTTTAGGGTTTAGGGTTTAGGGTTTAGGGTTTGGGGTTTGGGGTTTGGGGTTTAAGGTTTAGGGTTATAACTGTACTCATAACTGTACTTATGATCATATTAGGGCACTTAAGGGGCTTAGAAGTGGGTTATAAGTACAGTTATAATAGGTTAATAAGTACTATGAACCTCCAAGTAGGGTCAGTACGGCGTTCGGCCGACCGAATGCCACACCCAGAGTTTGGGGTTTGGGGTTTGGGGTTTGGGGTTTCGGGTTTAGGGTGTAGGGTTTAGGGTTTATGCACACACTTGAAACACAAAACCTTCCCTCGAAGGACGAAACCCTCAAGCCTTCCACTCGTGACTTGAATTCTCCTTTCCAGTTCAATGGAACTCCCACTGGAACAGGGCTTAGGGTTTAGGGCTTAGGGTTTAGGTTCTGAGAAAAGAGCCATTTCAGGGATACTAGTAGGGAGGTTTGGGGGACCTACTAGGGTGCGTCAGGAGGACTAGGACGGATCACCCTACGAAAGCCCTGTACCTTAAGGGATCGTGGTGTGTAGGGGGACCCTGGCTTGAGGTTAGGGTTTAGGGTTTAGGGTTTAGGGTTTAGGGTTTAGGGTTTAGGGTTTAGGGTTTAGGGTTTAGGGAATAGGGTTTAGGGTTTAGGGCTTAGGGTTTAGGGTTTAGGGTTTAGGGTTTAGTGTTTAGGACGCCAAGGAGAAGCTGCGTGGAATCGACATGATCTCATTTGGTCCAGATGTCCAAGGCCGCACTCCCAGTTCTGTGTGGTTTGGGTTCGGGGTTTGGGGTTTGGGGTTTGGGGTTTAGGGTTTAGGGTTTAGGGTGTGGAATTTAGGGTTCAGGGTTTGGGGTTGAGGGTTTACCCTAACCCCAAGTTCGTGTACGATCGACATTCCTGCACACCCACGCACCAGAATTCTGAGAAAGGCATGGGGGGTGGAAGGTTTAGGCTTTTATATCATGGGTTCCCTTCCTACCCTCTCTATACTACCCCCCCCCCTCCTCCCCCCAGGCTCCCCGCCATAATCAAGGCTATTTAGGGACCAGCTACGCCTAGCTAAGGTTATTTAAGGGGGAACCTAGGGGGAACCCAGGGAGGGTGTATGGGGGGGGGGGGTAGGGGAACTCATGAGGTTTTAGGGTTTAGGGTTTAGGGTGGAGGGGCTTTAGTTTCGGGAGTTCGAGGTGTCAGGCTCTGAGGACCTAGAGTAGGTCTTAGTCCCTTTTTTTGTGTCTAGGTTCCCTTAACCCTCAACCCTTTTTATTCCTAGTTTTCTCTTGGGTCTAGTTTACGGTTCCGAGGTTAGAGTTCGAGGTCGGGCGGCAAGCATGCTTGGCTTTTTTGGGGGCTTCTGGTTTCCGACTGGCGCCCTAAACCCTAAACCCGACACCCGAAACCCTAAACCCTGAACCCTGAACCCTAAACCCTAAACCTTAAACCCCAAACGCTCAACCCTAAACCCTAAACCCTAAACCCTAAACCCTAAACCCTAAACCCTAAACCCTAAACCCTAAACCCTAAACCCTAAACCCTAAACCCTAAACCCTAAACCCTATACCCCAAATGGATGGCTCCGTCTGAGATGATAGGTTTCGGGCGCAGGGCTGCAGGTGCAGGTTCAGGGTTTTCGGTTTTAGGGCTCTGGGGGTTTTCGGTTCTAGGGTTCTGGGGGTTTTCGGCTTTGGGGCCTTGGGCTTCAGGCGTTAGGTTTTCTAGTTTTTTCTTCAGATCGAGAAGAAGCTAAAAAAGTACAGCATTCAAGCTGTTTGTGTTTTTGTGGGGTGGGGGAGGGGGTGGGGTGGGGTGGGTGAGGGGGCGGGGCTCTATATCATCCAAAAGTTTGACGGTTAAGGGTTTGTGGGGCCTAGTTCTCCTGGGACAACTTGTCGCCATCTCGACAGGCGCGCATGCACCTGGCGAAAAGGTAGAGGCCAGGGAAGCCAGTGCAGGCTTCGGGGTTTAGGGGTAGGAACAATTGCTAATTATATTCCGTTTGAGTCCCTTTATAAGATTACTATAATATCCCCCAAAACCCTCTTCTAATTTTGCAGGCCCCTACACAAGGGTTTCTAGGGTGTAGGATTTATCTTTCAGGGTGCAGAGGTGCAGAAGTCCCTTGCAGCTGCGAGGTTTGCTTTTCGGGTTTAGGGTGTAGGTTCTGGGGTCTAGGGTTTAGTGCATACCAGACCGTTCTAGCTAGTTTGTTCTATTGAGAAGAGGCCCCAAAACGGAGCCTCGAAGCCCCTAAACCTTAACCCCTTACACCCTACACCATCCTACTAGGATGCCCAGTAGTGGCCTATACACATTTTCTGTCCCGTTATAAACCTCTTTAAACAACAAAAGGCCACCCTTTTCAATCCTAGGCTCCTGGTTAACCTGGCCTGTTCTCGGGGGTGTTACAACAAGGATGACATCGTACTTTGGGGTCGAAATAAGTACTAATGTTCTTCCCCTATGGTCCCGCCAGAACTGTACTAAGTCACTATGTCATACGCCATACCCCCCAAAACCCAAAACCCCAAACCCAAAACCCACAACCCTAAACCCTAAACCCTATTCTAATTTCTCAGGCCCCTACATTACCAAACGTGTGCACCCTAGACTCCCTCAACCGAGCCTTTACTCTGAAGGCATCAAGAACCCTCAACCCTAAACCCTAAGCCCTAAGCCCTCGGGGCGTGCTTTGCGGTTTCTACGAATCTTCAACCCTCAACCTAGACCCCGGGGTCTTAAACTCCCAGCCCTAAACCCTTCCACCCTAAACCCTAAACCCTACTCCCTTAACCCGACTCGTGCAAGGTCCGCTCCGTGGCAAAGAGCTGGGAACTGTTCCCTGGTCGCCTTTTGGTTTAGAGCTTACACGAGATTGGGGGGTTTCGGGCTAAGTTTGAAGGAGTCTCCAAAGGTCTTGGCGGAAGTCCTGGGGATTGTGTGAGTGCAAGTGCCTCATGCCGGGTTTAGGGTTTAGGGTTTAGGGTTTAGGGTTAGGAGGGTCATGGTGAGCTGTCCGTGGCATCAACCTTTCACGGTTTCCTCAGGCAGAAGCTGGTCTAAACATGCAGCCGTTCTGACGCTCATCCAGTGAACTTCTGCCCGGCCCTGATGACATCAAGCGCTGCCCTTGACGACACAGTCCCAGAAGAGCACAGAGCAGCCCCAGAAGAGCATGAGGCAGTCCGAGAGGAAGGCGAGGCAGTCCCCGAACAGGAGGAGGCAGTCATGATCACCCTCAGCCAGGCGTCGGACCTGTCCAGCGAGGGCACGGGCCCAGCAGAACAGCCAGGACTGGCAAATCTTATAGGTGCTGCTGGGCCGTGCTTTGGGACAATTTTTAGTTTCCCTTCTTTCCCTAGAAGGGGAACCTATTTATAAGTAATTTTCAAGGGGCTTAAAGCACAACTTAGGTTGTTGTTGGCATGGAGCTCTACAACGAAAACTTGCTCCGCGCCGTCCCGGCGTGGGTGGCGCTCAGGCAGCTGGGCAAAATGCTCCGACGCTCGGAGGCCCAGAACAAGACCGAGGCTGCCCTGGCTGAAATGTTCGCGCTTAGCCACCTAGGTAGCTGAAGAAGTGCACTTTACACCTTTTTGGGGTACTCTAAATCCCGTATAGAACTGAAAGTGTAGACTTTTTCTGGGGGGCTTAGGAAACTCGGCAACTGAGGCCACAAGGTGAGCAGAATCAAGGAGTTTTGGTCGCACAGCTGGCATGGGCGGGTCCCTTCGAAGATTTTCCTGCTGCTCATGCTGCTAGGTCTTGGAGTACTATACTTTATAATACTTTTTTGGGTTCTGGTTTCCTCTTATAGCTACTTATACCTAAAAAGTATATACTTTTTTTTTCAGGGTCTACTCCAAAGCCTAGGCTGAAGAATGGCTGCGCGGCCGTCGCCCTGGGCCTCCTCACCGCCTTTCTTGTGGCCTTCTTGACGTATCTTAGGGGGCACTTGGGTTTTTTTACTTTTGGGCGTTATAGTTCCTAAGAAACTGGAAATATTTTTCCTTATTTTTGGGTACTATACTTCCGAAGAAACAGCAAAAAAAGTTAATTCTTGCTAGGGTTCCAAGTTCAGTGTAGGTATGAGGACCTCCTGCCTGGTTGGTACAAGATGCCCCGGATCAGTCCACAAGGCGAGATCCCAGGTATCGATTTTTGGGACAAATTTTTGTATTTCCCTTAGCTGTTCAGAATATGGAGCCCCATACATAGACAATTTTGGGGACTGTTGAAATCGACACCCACGACTATTTGCTTAAAGAACCCCAACAGAATGAAAAAAACAACAATCCCTATATCACCCTTCGTAAGGAAGAACATTTCTATTTTGTTTCGGGGGTTCTTAAGCAGCTGGCAGCCTAAAAATCAAGACGTATCGATTTGGGATCATTTTTAACTTCCCTTAATTGTTTCGAAATATGGACCCCCTAGTAAGGGTACCCCCCTAGTTATTAACCTTTTGTTTTTTTTGGGGGGGGGGGGGACTGTGTTGAAAAAACCGACACAAAGGACCAAGAGACCAGCCCCTGGTCCCTCAAACGAATAACAAGTAATGATCATCCCTACATTACCAGAAAGCATAGCAAGTATTGATAATCCCTATATTACCAGAAAGAATAGCCAATATTGATCATCCCTATATTACCAGAAAGAGTAGCAAGTATCGATAATCCCTATTTTGCCCTTAGCAAGATAGAATATTCTTATTTTTGAATTAGGTCCCTCAAAAGAATAGCAAATATTGATAATCCCTATTTTGCCCTTAGCAAGATAGAATATTCTTATTTTTTCAGTTAGTAGCCTAGGATCAAGATCAGCCCCTGGTGCCTCCTGAGTGGCTTGGTCGTGTCCTCCCTGACGCTCTTTTTTTGGCGATCTGGAGACCCGGTGTTCCTGGATCAGGTGTGCATTCACCAAGGTGTCCCATTTATTCAAAAGTATGGTCCCTTTTTTGGGTTTAGGGTTTAGGGTTTAGGGTTTAGGGTGTAGGATTTAGGGTTTAGGGTTTAGGGTTTAGGGTTCTTGGATCAGGTGTGCATTCACCAAGGTCATGGGTTCCATTGATTAGGCTTAACTAGCCCTAAATCGCCTTAATGATTCACCAAGGCGTCCATTTCTCAAGATCAGTGGTCCCGTTTTGGGTACCCTAAATGATGGGGGCCGCCCTAGAATAGTAGCCCCAAAAGGGACCCTAGTTTAGAGAGTCCACCAGGTGATGCCGTCCTGAAAGCCCAAGCCCTCACGCAGCTGGGCGCCTTCCTGAAAAACTCCCGGAAGCTCGTGGTAGTGTGGGACCAGACTTACCTCTCCAGGCAGGCAGCATGCTTGTGGGGCTTAGGGTTTAGGGTGTTTAGGGTGTTTAGGGTTCAAGGTTTAGGGTTTAGGGTTTAGGGTTATTCCCTCCAATATCGCTTAATTTCAAAATGTTCCTTGGCATCAGGGCATAAAAGTGCCTAACTTGCCAAATTCAAGGATATAGGAGTCTGATAACAATGACTAGAACCCTAAACCCTAAACCCTAAACCCTAAACCCTAAACCCTAAACCCTAAACCCTAAACCCTAACCCCTAAACCCTAAACCCAAAACCCAAAACCCAAAACCCAAAACCCTAAACCCTAAACCCTAAACCCTACCCAAAACCCTAAACCCAACACCCGCAACCCTACCCGGCTGTTATCCCACCTTCGGGGCAGGGTGCAGTCACGCCATACACATACACATACACACACCCGCAACCCTACCAGGGCATGGTGCGTATTCGAGCTCGCGGCCTTTCTCCACAGCCACCGTCATGACAAGCTGGTGCAGATCGAGGTCAAGCCCACGGCATTTGCGTGGGCCGCGCCTCACTGGCTCTTCGGGTTTAGGGTTTAGGGTTTAGGGTTTAGGGTTTAGGGTTTAGGGTTTAGGGTTTAGTGTCTAGGGGGGTTTAGGGTTTAGGGAATTTGGGGGAACCAGGTAATTACCCGATGTCCCCTAAACTACTCTTGAAGGAGTCAGATAGCGACCCTAGTCCCCCAATTCCCAGCTAGGAGCTTACTAAGGTGTTCGTCATGGTGCTTGGGGGAGTGCTCCTGCTTGCCATGGAGATGTGCCTACCCTCGGGTGATCTTTTCTTCCTGATCAGGGTTTTGTACATGATTGCATGGAGCGTGCTAGTGGCTCGTTTGTTCGAGGACTTCTCGCGGAGCGTCTTTGTTGCTGAGGAGCAGTTTCGCACATTCAGGTGGCATGGGGTCACTTGCCACTGTTGCTCCGTGAATCACCTCCTTCCAGATGGACGGCCCATTCCATGCGACCGAGAAATTCTAGGAACATGCATCGTGGAGTGGTTCGGCTCCGTAGAGGCCTTTGATGAGAGCGTCCGGACTCAAGTGCGTGGCGAGTTTTTGGGTCCGGTCACTCGCGGATTCCCTTTAGGGTTCCGGTGGCTCATTGGGGCCAACTCCTATATTGCCTGGAGCTTCGCCGACTCCGTCGCGTGCCGGGCTGGCGCAGGCAACCAGGCGATGGCCATTTCTTATCTGATCACCGCTGTGGCGTGGTGGCTGTGGATTTCGCCAGCTAGTTACCTCTGCTACGCGAGAGTCGCGCAGTGGATGGAGAGGAAGCGTTGGGAGAAGGTGAGATCTCCTACCCTTTGTGCCGTAGTTGTCATAGGGTACTGTGCCTGTGTGATGAACGCTGGACTACCACATCTGTACTTCGCGTCATGCTACCGTGCCCTCGCCGACCCCGTTCATGCGGGCTTGGCATTTGCAGGGACAACCTTATGCTTGGCAGTGGCGGCGTATAGCCTTCTAGCCGGGCCACGGACATGTAGGCGTGCTGCACAGAAGCTTGGGGGACCTGCCTGACACAGTTTCACAGAGAAGGAAGGGACCTTGTACCGATCTTGGTCTCCGAAATGTGGGGGGTCCCTTTTCGGGGGTTGGGGATATACCCATATGGGTCAGCCATGGTCAGATCAGGTTTGCCACGGTTTTCTCAGGGTCTAAGAATGATTCATTTTACCCCAACCAAACCCATACCCCTTAACCTATACAAGGAGAATATGGGGAAGGGGTTTTTCCCATGCCCCTTGATTTCTTTTACGGGGTCTGCCCAAGGGGTATGTTGAACATTTCTTAGACAGGGAAATTGAAAGCGAGTAGAGATCCGGACCAGGGGTAGTGTCAACTTGGCCAGGTCGTCGTCGTCTCATCAGGTTTGTCCTCTCCCTCTAAGATGAGAACCACCCTAAACTTTCCTAAACCCCAAGCCCTAAATCCTAAACCCTGAACCTTACTAAACCCTAAACCCTATACTAAACCCTAAACCCTAAACCCTAAACCCTAAGCACCTAAGCCTCCTCAGCCCACCAAACCTCCTAACATAAGTACTCCCACGGCAGCATGTTGTAGGAGATGGGGAAAGTGTTATGTGACCTACTGGCTCTTAGCCAGGAGATGAGGGAGGATTTAGGGTATAGGGTTTAGGGGGAATATAGTACCAACCCTTGGACGGATCCCGCGCGAAAAACGCGCATGCCGTCAATATTTTCCGTGCCTTTCGTCAATATTTTCCGTGTCTTTGCGGAGGAGGATCGAAATTCCGCGAAGGGTGGCCAAAACAGGCTCAGGGGCTTTAGGAGGTTTGGGAGTTTAGGGCTTTTGGGTGTTACGCTCGGGTTTAGGGTTGAGGGGTTCGAGGCTTTAGGATAGGAGTTTAGGGCTTTAGGGTATTGCGGGGTTTTGGGGTTTCACCTGGGAGTACGGGGTCTTCGTCTGCCCTGGTCTGCATGCCAACCCGGTTGTCACGAAGGGGCACCCTAGGCCCTAACCCTAAACCCCAAACCCCAAACCCTCAACATCCCTCAACCCTCAACATCCCTCAACCCTCAACATCCCTCAACCCTCAACCCTCAACCCCTAAACCCTCGGCCCTAAACCCTAAGCCCTAAACCCTACATGTGTAAGCTCCCAGTTGACTAGGACCCGGCGAGTAGGCCCCTTTTCCCTGTTTTAGGGTTTAGGTTCCCCTGCGATCCCCTTTAAACCCGAAAGGGCACCCGTTGTATTTCCAGGGTTTGTTCTTGGGTCGAGTTGAAGTATGCAAATTGGGTTTGGGGTTCTTCTAGGACTCTGGGTCGGAGATTTGTATAGGGTTCGTTCTGGAAAACATTTAGGTTTATGGTTTCGGGTTTAGTTTGTTTTTCAAAGGTTTCAGGGTTAGTGCTTAGGGTTTTCAAGCCTCTTCAGGCAAAAAGGATACCCTTTCTTAGTCCGAGGTTGTTCGGACTGACTCAACCCCAAAGAACTCTCTGTCGCTCTGCTTTTTTCAGACCCAAGGGCATGTTAATACACGTCCAATTTATGATTCTATTGAGAGTACTCTCTCACTCCGTAAGCCCAAACCCCCAAAACCTTAAACCCCTTCACCCTTAGACCCTCACACCCTTGTAAAAGGGGAGTACAGTCTCACTCTCACGCTCACGCTCGCTCTCACTCTCACTGTCGCTCTCGACTCTCGACTCCCGACTCCCGCTCCCGTTCTCGCTCCCGTTCTCGCTCTTTCTCTCTGGCTTTCTCCCTCTCCCTCTCTCTGTCTATTCTCAAAATCTACACTCTAAGCCCTAAACTGTATATCCTTTTTTTTCGTACATTCCGTCCTTCTCCTTTTTTTTGTCTCTCCCTCTTTCTCTCTCTCTCTCTGTCTCTCTCTCTCTCTCTCTCGCTCTCCTTCTCCCATATCCCCAAGTCGAGACCCCCAAGCCCAAATCCGACAAATCCGAGCCTGGAGGGCTTAGGATTTAGGCTTGGGGTTTCGGGGGGTCACGTTTTAGTTTTAGGATTTACGATGTGGGGTTTAGGGTTTAGGGTTTAGGGTCTAGGGCGTGGGGTAGCCTAAACTGAAAAGCCTTTCCGCCCTAAGCTCTGCTTCCGAGGCTTCAGCGGCTGCTGGCGCGCCTCACGCATGAGCCAAGTCGCGGCGGATCCGTTGAGCTGTGAAACAAAGAGGAGAAGGGGGTTGCTCGGAACTAAGCCCTAAACCCTAAACCCTAAACCCTAAACCCTAAGCCCTAAGCCCTAAGCCCTAAACCCTAAAGCCTACACCCTAAACCCTAAACCCTAAAAGCTAAACCCTAAACCCTAAACCCTAAACCCTAAACCCTAAACCCTGAACCCTAGAGGAAGAACCCTAAACCCTAAACCCAAAACCCAAAACCTTAAACCCTAAACCCTAGACCCTAACCCTAAACCCTAAACCCTAGACCCTAAACCCTAAACCCTAAGCCCTAAACCCTATACCCTAACCAACTTTGGGCCTCCATAAGATTATTGGGATCAGCCCATGCTGCTAGACCGTGAGTCCTTCACCCTAAGCCGCACGCCGAAAGGTTCACCGAGTTAAAATCACCTTTCCGCCCTGATCCCTAAACCCTGAGCCCTAAGCCCTGAGCCCTAAGCCCTAAACCCTAAACCCTAAACCCTAAACCCTAAACCCTAAACCCTAAACCCTAAACCCTAAGCCCTAAACCCTAAACCCTAAACCCTAAACCCTAAACCCTAAACCCTAAACCTAAATCTTGCAGCTAAGTGCGGTGTGGCTGCAGAAGCCCCAGAGCCGAAGCCCTCAACCCTCAGGCCCAAGAAGTTCAGGCCATAAAGCCCTAAACCCTATACCCTAAACCCTCGCCCGAAACCCTAAGCCCTAAACCCCAACCCCGAACCCCAAACCCTATACTCTGGGGGTAGTTTTTTCTCTCGGGCTAGGGATGTGTGGTTTGGGGCTCTAGGGATGTAGAGTATTAGAGGTTTGGGCCTCTAGGGTTTTGGGGGTTTTAGGGGTTTAGCCTTGCGGGGTTTAGGGGTTCAGGGGCACATCGGATGCGCGCAGTTCTACCTCCTAGGCTAGATTTGGTTCTAGACACTTCATTCTGGAAACACAGGGTTCGGGGAAAGGGAACATTTTTGAGTGCTGGTTTAGGGTTTAGGGTTGCCCCCTAAACCCTATAAACCCTAAAACCTAAACCCTAAATCTAAGCCTAAACCCCTCAGCCCCTAAACCCCTAACCCCTTAACCTCTAAACCCCTCAACCCTTAAACCCTAAACCCCTAAACCCCTAAACCCCCTAAACCCCCTAAACCCCTAAACCCCTAAACCCCTAAACCCCTAAACCCCTAAACCCCTAAACCCCTAAACCCCTAAACCCTAAACCCTTAACCCCTAAATCCCTAAACCCCTAAACCCTTAAAGCTTAAACCCGATTCTGTGGTTACCGACGGTTCCTTTGGGGCCCTCTGACCCGAAAGCGCCCCTGGAGTCTTGGGTTAGGGTTTAGGCTTTAGGGTTTGGGGTTTAGGGTTTAGGCTTTAGGGATTTTTTAGGGCTTCAGGGGTTTCAGGGTTTCAGGGCTTAGGGCTTAGGTCTTTTGGGTTTTGGACTTTCCAGTAGTTGGGGCCTTGAGAGCCGAGTGTAGTTCCCGAAGACCTTGAAACGAGAACCCCCAAACCCCAAACCCATATCCCAAACCCTAACCCTAAACCCTAAACCCGAAACCATAAGCCCTAAGCCCTAAACCATAATTCCTAAGCCCTAAACCCTAAGCCCTCAGAACCCCCAAACCTTATTCTCCGGCCCCACATCAGGCAAAACCAGCCAAAGACAAGGCAGAGCCCGAGAAGCAGGGAGCCTGGATGGGTTTAGGGTTTGGGGTTTGGGGTTTCGGGTTTAGGGTTTAGGGTTTGGGGTTTGGGGTTTGGGGTTTAGGGTTATTTACTGTCGCCCTCCCTCCCTGAAGGACCCTATAGCACTGAACTTTTAAACTAAAACCCTAAACCCCAAACCCTACAACCTCAGCGTCCAATGTGCTGGACCACCCGACAACATCCAGCACTACCAGAGCACCGCAAGGCCACAACGCCGGGCCACTTGCAATCTGCATCGGGCAGCTGGTTGATCGTTTTCAGTTGGTCTTGTTGCGTGCCCTCCGTGTTCAACAACGCGTTGGCTTCCCGACAACCTCGGCACTACCACAGCACCACAAGGCCACAAGGCCGGGCCACTTGCATTCTGCATCGGGCAGCTGATTTAGGTCGCTCAGCATGTCATTCAGCAGGGGTGACTAGTTGGGTCTTCTGACGCAGGGGTAGCGATGATGTTGGTGTCGTGGGGGGGAGGAACTTTTTGGAGGTCATGCCCTGTGGTCTGAATTGCTCTGTGTTGCTACAGCCATAAGATGGAGCCCTAAACCCCCAAGCCCTAAACCCTAAACCCCAAACCCTAAACCCTAAATTTAAGAGCCTCCGGCTCAAGCCGCCGACCCCGCTGGAGCATGGTTGGATGCCAAAGTTGGTGGGGGGGCGGGTAGGGGGGTAGGGGTGGGGGGGGGGGGGGGGGAGGGGGGGGGGGTAGGGGGGGTAGGGGGCAGGAGACCTTAACCCTAAACCCGAAACCCGAAACCCTAAACCCTAAAGCCTAAACCCTAAACCCTAAGCCCTAAACCTTGAACGCTAAACCCTACTCGGGAGTGGCGGCCTCCGACCTCGATGGCCTTGTGCGCAGGGGCATAAGCAAACCCCACGGTTTAGGGTTTCAGGCCTAAGCCAGGGAAAATGCCTGTCCCCAGCACCTGCGTCACGTTGTGAGAGAGGCTAGGGTTCAGGATTCAGAGGTTAACCTGAAACCCCTGAACCCTGAACCCTAAACCCTTAACACTGAACCCTGAACCCTGAACCCTGAACCCTGAATCCTTGCCCTGAACCCCTGAACCCTGAACCCTAAACCCTGAATCCTAAACCCTAAACCCAAAACCCTAAACCCTAAACCCTAAACCCTAATCCCTATCCTTAGCTGCACCTGAAGTCCCCTGAGG